CTGCAGTAGTCATATGATCATTGATCATCTCCTCCACCTGTGTCAGCTCTGGCAGATGGGCCGGAAGCTCTCCTGGGTCCATTTCGTTCTCCGCGGACATGAGGAAGGGTGTTTTGCTGCCCTTATCTCGCAAGAAGCAGGCGTGACAGACCCCATCCTTGAGGTCCATTGCAAACCACCGTTCCTTGCACCGGGTACAGGTCTCCATCTTGACCTGACCCATGGCGGCGTTGAAACTCTGTATATACCCCCATTGCTCTGTGGGAAGGAAGCCCGTACCCCGAGGCGGTTCGGGCGGCATAGACCGTGTTTCGGGGTGGACGGGGAGCAGAGGGCGGACAGGTTCTGAATCCGATCCGACTCGTCCTGTGATGATGGTATGAGAACTTTGTTCAGCGGGAAGGAAGCCAGTTTGTTGAGGCTGTACATGATGATGCTGGAACGAAGGAAGAGCTCGAGGCTGGATTGGCTGAATGCGTGGCGGGCAGACCGGCAGAACGGGCTGGCGCTGGACTGGGAGAAGATGCGGCCTGGTCTGAGCTTCAAGGAGAGGGCGAAGTGCTTCGGGTAGAGAGGGGACAGGAGGGCCTGCATCATCATCGCGGAGAGGGAGAGCGGGTGCCAGGGGGCGAGGGATAAGGAGGGGTTGCAATGGACGCGATGTAGGGGGGACTGATGATAGTTTAGGACGTCCACGTCTCTTGGGCGGGACATCAGGACATGATGGCTGTAAGGCCTTCCTTTTCTTTAAATTCTTGGCGCGGCAAGGAATGCAGGTGCGGAAGATCTTACATGGTTTTTTTTTTTTTTTAATTTTTTTATGTGAATTTCATGGGGGCCAGCCCCCAACCCCCCGGTCCTCACTTCGTTCGAGAAGGGCTACGGATCGGAATGCTATCTGGGCTAGCAGAGGCATTCTTCAGGAAGCAAGAGAGCAAGCATATGTAGGCATGGCTGCATGTGAAGCTGCATTTGAAGCTGTGATAATTGTGTTGTGCTGGATGCGCTATAATTGCATTAGCGGGAGAGTTGTAAGCGCTGTATTTATAGTGGTTCTCTCACTAAAGGCGCTATAGTGATGGTTTTTTCGCACTATGTAATGTGCCACTCTGCTGTAGTTAGTTATGTAAATATATACATACATTCAGAGGTAGCTCCCACAACAACAATATCACTGTTCAAGAATCGACTATGAATTCAACTGTGAACTTTGCAGCAACTTAGTGAGCCTTGTTCTCGTAAATTACTACGCTCAGAAACTCGATATTAAACTTGCATGAACCTTTGTTCCTTATTTCATCTTATCGCCTTCCTCCCAAGGGCTACCCGACACCACTGAAGCTCTCGCGTTGCTCGTGCTTTAGTCTCATCTAGAGAAAAGTTTGGGCCAGTATTGGTTGTTGTGCGTGTATTTTGGTCCAACAAAGTGCCTTGTGGAGTAATTACTGGCTTTGCGGCGGCACCTCTGCTGGTACGAATAATGTGCGAACTTGAAGCTCTCGAGCCGGCAGCTCAGCCGCCTTGGAAGGCCGTTGGAGTCGAAGCCCTCGAACCGTCAACAACCTTACAGACCTGAATTATTCCCTCCGGGAGCCCTTCGGGGACCCTGCCGGGGGCCGCCTGCGGCGAGCTGTTCGTCTCTTTCTATTTTATGGGGGCCAGCCCCCAAACCCCCAGTCCTCACTTCGTTCGAGAAAGGCCACGGATCGAATGCTATGCGGAGTAGGTTGAGTAGTTTCGAGCAGTGGAGATGTAGGAGGCAACGGATTACGCGTAAGGCCCGCGATATCATGTGATAGCACATTTCTGAAGCGGCCAATCAGATGCCGCTGAAGATAGCCAATCAAACGACAGGATTTCGGCCAATCAAAAGCCAGGATTGTGGCCAATCAGAGGCCTTAAAAACACGTGATAGGAACTACTTTTCTCACAGATTTGGATCACGTGCACGCGTGCAGGGGGGTCGGAGTGTAAAGAAAAGCTTCGCTTTTCAACGAGGGGCCGCGGATAGGATATACGCGGGGGTAAAGCGAAGCTTTTTTTCCTGACTTGTTTTCCTTTTTTATTTTCTTTTTCTTTTTTTTATTTATTTATTTTTGGTCTGAACTTCATGGGGGCCAGCCCCCAAACCCCCGGCCTCACTACGTTCGAATTTTATAGTAATTGATTTGTTCTTACAGTATAGTCTAACTCTCTATCTACCGATACAGCGGAAGTAACATGTTTAAAACGTTCAAAGTCAAATGGAACCTCAAACATAACTCCCGCCAACGTCTTAACCCGTGATACAGCTACATAAGAAAGGCCTGGGCAATGCTCCCTCTGATTCAAGTTTAAAACGGCCTTAGACAGCGTTAACCCTTGACTCTTATGGACTGTAATTGCATATGCGAGCCGTAGAGGAAACTGGGTACGGGAACACGCCACTCCTTTGTATTCAAACTGGCGAGTGGCAGGGAAAACAGGTATCACCCCCGGCTCGCAATGTGGAAAAACAGGCCCGTGATACTCATCAAACTTGATCAGTA